CGCACCTGGCTGGAGATAGGGAAACATTCTCACAGACCCTGAGGGGGACACACCCCCTCCTCTACATAATATATATGATGTGAAATTGAGACCATTTTACCAATCGCACAGAGACCTTTAGAACGATAGCAAATAGAAGGGGAAAAAACAACAGGTTCACAAGATACAAGATATGTGGTATATACATATTTGAAACCTTTTGGGGGAAAAAGAGTGAGAGAGGGCAGAGGGGAGAAAATGAGCAAGGGGGTGGTGTTGTTTGCTTTCTTTGGAGATCTCCTCCCAATTAATTTGATTGTTTTGTTGCATGGCATCTGCTTTGTGCGAGTTCCTGACATTTTGTATTCATGATAGAGATATATATATATATACCTGTATTATTATTGTTATTATTAATAATAATAATCTTGTTTATTACCTAATATTATTATTGTATTTAAATGTATACATGTAATATGTATATATTTAATAATCATGTATTAAATACATTACATATATTTAATTATAGTAGTAATATTTAATAATAATAATAACCCTGTTTATTACCTAATAATATTATTGTAATTAAATTTAACATTGAATAAGTCTATATTTAATAATAATAATAACCCTGTTTATTACCTAATATTATTGTAATTAAATTTAACATTTAATAAGTCTATATTTAATAATAATGTATTAAATAAATTACATATATTTAATATTAGCAATAATATGTATTATTATTATTATTTTCATCATCATCATCATCATTTCTTCCTGATGCATGCTGAAAACAATTCCACAGAATCCCACAGATTCCAGATTAAACCAGTTGTGGATTGATGAGAAAGGGGAACTTAAAGTTCAACTAAGAGCTGTGTCATACTTTATCTTTTTATCAATCTGTGGGCAGTGCTGTGTTTCAGTGTGAGTCACTCTGGACAGTGACCCTTCCAGTGAATCAAGAGTAAACACAAGGCACAATCACACCTACAGCTCTCTGAACTGTCACATTCATTTAAAGTAACTATATTTCACGGTTAATTGCATTTTCATTAGACTGATACAATTCACACAATCTTATTAAACTATGAACTTACAACTGACAAAATCAGTACTGTATGAAGATGAATAATGCAGATGGGTTCTCAGGCTGTCCTGAATGCCTCTTGGCACTAAATTCTTCCTTGGAAATCAAATGTCAGCCTATGGTGTTAATGTCTGTCAGTATGTGCAGTAAGATGGAAAAATGTCCCAAAGATAGACTTTGTAGGAATATGCTATTCATATTCTTGGTCCTGTCTGGCTGACTGAGTTCTGCTTTTTTCGAATAAAATGGCAGAAAATATATTTTTAGGCTATTCATGATACCTGTTTAGAGGACTTCTCCATTATAACCTGCTATTGTTCAAAAAAAAATTCACAACCTCTTTATTAAAACTGTTGTGTTTGCAGTACTTTTTAAACTGCAATATAGATTTAGAGCTTCTTAAACCAGGCATCTTGTGGTAAAAGTGTCCCTCCCTTGTGTTTACTCTATGATCTCCATAGGCCGTGATAAACAGTGAAAACTGTGTCATGCATTCTGCTGGTTAAAGTTCAGTCTCAAGATATTTCCTGCAACTTCATTTAACTGGTAGCTGGAGTGCTGTCCTCTTAAGGTTATTCTGTGCCATATTTATCTAGTTCTTCGCCTATTATAATTGGCCTTCGGTATTTTTGAAAATGTAAAGCCATGCACACTTTGACATGTGGCACCACATTTTAAAAAGGTCAAAATCACAATAAATATTTTAGAGGCAATATGAAATTGGTCCTGGGGGGAAAAAACAAAGGAAAACCAGTGTTTTAAAGTCAGAAAATGGGGCAAAACCACATTAAACATCCTGGTTTTATGCTGTCAGTAAAAAACCATTCCAGTTGCCTTATTTTCTTATAGTCTGAATCAACTGAGATTTTACTGTGTTTGGTCGTCTTGATGCATTTCAGTATGTCTGGTTTGATTAGACTCTTGGTAATATGTAAATGATTAGTTTTGTACAGTCAATGATGATTAGTATAGTCTAGTAAAATAGATTTGACTGGTTAATCCAAAGGGGGGATATGGGTTCTGTACAAAATTATGCACATGCCTCCACCGTCTGGACAGTAAAGGATTTGCACCTTTTGTATGTAGTGTAGTTTTACAGTGTAGTTTTTTTTCCCCTCCACGGTTTTTAGTGAGAACAACACTATGGAAAAAGTCATATCGATTACGGTATACAAAAGAAAATACATTGATTTAAACTGCATGGATGAAAAGCCACTGAGAGTAAAATGAATTTGTTTTATGTTCCACAGAAGAAAGAAAGCGATACACATTTGGAACGATTCGAGGGTAAATAATTTTTGGATGAACTATCCCTTTAACTATGCGGAAATATCATTGATTTATCCGTCCACCTGTCCATCAGTCATAATGAGCAAATTGTTTCAGTCCAGTCCTCCGTGAATTTACTTCAGCTTTTGAATCGACTCGGAGCCAATAAATACAAAGTAACCACAGCCCTCAAAACGATGAAATGCTCCAACTTGCAGCTGCCAGCATATGGAAGAATTTTAGCCTCAAAGAACTCTAGGATTCTCCGGGAATGAGTAAAAACAAACAAGTTTACAAGCGGATCTCTGTAACAAATGACACTGGATGACTATCACGGTCTATTTAGTGGCTTTTTACCAGTGCAATTTGCAATGGTCAAATTAAAGGAGGTAGCCAGTTCATCTCAAGAAATAAAAGCCAGACAGACTTGCAAAAGCAGCTAGAACAACATACAACACGAATCCTTGGTTTTATCTGCTAGATATAATGAAAATTTGGTGTATTGCTTGATGTCCAACTTACTTACGGAAATTAACCATGGTTTTTTAGTCAAAATGTAGTAGTGTTTTACTACAAATACCACAGTTTTACTACAAATACCATGGTTAAACTACGGTTAGCGTAGCAAAACCATGGTTAATTTGTGGTTACCATGGTTTAACTATAACCATGTTTTTTTTTTTTTTTTTGTAGTAAAACCATGGTTAATTTAGTAAGGGCCATTGAACAGTTTACATCACTGCCATGGCTGAAACTAGCCAAATTACTTTATTGTAGTTAATAGAGATTACAGACCCAGATAGCACACGTACATCTGCAAGATGTCTGTTAAAGATCTCTTGATCTGGAAAGCATCTGCGGGGGTGTGCAAACATCTGACAGACGTCTTTAAGATGTCAGTTTTACATACATTCTAAATCATAAACATCTTAAAGACATCTAATATACAGTACGTCTATTTGACATCTGATAGGAAAAGTCCAATAGACGTATTGCAGATGAGCAAACACTCTAAAAAATACATCTTGCAGACGTCAAATAGACATCTCCACAAATTCAATTCAAATGACAGAACGATGTTGGCTTCTCGCACATGACATTTTCTCATCCAAAACCCTCTATATGCTATTATTTAAAGGTGAATGTGCTGAATACATTATCAATGGCCCTTGCTGTGCTATTTACATATATTTGAATAATCAATCATGATCAGATGCATAATGAGCTGAACCCTCAGAAATACGGACTCACAGCTGCAATTTGCTACAGAACAACTTAGTCAAACCGCAGTGTTTAAACTGGCTTATTTTGTTAATTAATACTGCATTTCAATATTATGCCACCTTAATTCTATGTTTTAAGATTTCAGTAACTGTATGACTTTCTCAAAGCATGATGAAACCTGCTAAAATGGAGATTTTGAGAAACTTTTCCAGTACATCATCAGGGAACAGTCGTCAGATCTGTCATACACAAGAAACCCCTCCAGGCCCTTCAGAGATCCAGCCACTGTCTGTTGGGAATCACTTGCAATCCATTTTATTTTTAAAGACTGTCTTACGTCGTTCCTTTTATCTTTAAAGCCGTATGGGTCCTCTTGCCATGCACATCATTCCAGCAGAATGAAAAACACTGTATGAAAAAGGCCTTTGGGAGACACCGAGAGGTGATTTATGGGGATTGCTTTGTTTCTATTGTTTGCTTCTCATTCCAGTACAAAAACAACAGTGGCACTTGCTAAATAAGTGTGAATAAGCATCATATCACTGTAAGTAGAGCACTCATATTGATAGTGTTTGAAGCTTCATGATACTGTAACATAAAGAAAACAGGACTACTAATTGTATTTGTGTCAGAATTGTTTTATTCTCTAGGATGTCATTTCTAAGAGACAAAACAGTATTTTAATAATAAACAATGCTAGGAACCTATCTTCATTTTTAAAAGTCATTATCGTTTTGGGGATAATTTGATTATTTTGGCTTTTTTAAATGAACCAGTGCACAAATGGAAATCGGCAGCATTCAGTCCTTTGTGAAAAGCACTAAAATGACCCCATCTCAGCAAAGTACAGCATGATAGCAGACTATTAACTTTTTCATCACAGTAATGCTGCCTTATAGTAATCTCTTGGGTTTCTTTCTTCTACAGTCATTGCAAGAGATAGTAAATAGTTCATTTTCTATCTATTCATACAGCAGCTAATGTTGAAAAAGCGTTTGCTGAACATTTCAAACGACACAAGTCTTGTTAAAATAATGTTGTCGAAGAAAGATAGATTAAAAACAATTATTGTCCTTCAGTTCATTACTTTTACTAGTATGCTGATTGAATTCAGCTTCAAAATGATGAAAAAGTCTCATTTTAATATCATCCGAGAGCAATTCTCCCAGACTGTACTGTATGTACAAAATAAAACAAGAAAATTCAATACATCTTTAGTGGACTACAGAGAGCTACAACATTTGAATGACATTTTCACTCTAATAAAAAAATGCCAGTTCTTACACATAAATTCAAATACATTTAAATTAAAATATGAATACAATTACAATCAAAATCTTTTTAATCACACCAAATTAAAATAAAGCTATAATTGTGTCCATTCGACATGCCTTAAATATATACATTAAAGTGATCAGGATGTGAATGTTTTTTTTTTCTTTTATGTACAAATTTAGCAAAATGCACTTGTCCATGATCCATTATCATTGTCCAGGTCTCTGTCTTTACTGGTAGTGTCCATATTGCTGTCATGAACACAGTGGATCAAGAGAACATGAACTGATATCGCTGTCATGTGGTGTCTTAAAGTTGCCTTGACTTCCACAGACAGATCCTCAAATAGTTTCAAGAGTAGAGATGAAATAGGGGATATAGGGGAGCTTCATCAAACTTCATTTGTTCTTCAAGCTGAGAAAGAAGCAAAACAGATTTATGACATGGCTAAAATGAAAAGTAAAAAAGTTAACCACAGTTTTTGTGCTATTACATTTACATTTAGTCATTTAGCAGACGCTTTTATCCAAAGTGACTTACAAATGAAGACAATGGAAGCAATCAAAATCAACAAAAGAGCAATGATATGCAAGTGCTATAACAAGTCTCAGTTAGCTTAACGCAGTACACATAGCAAGGGTTTTTTAAATAATATAATAAATAAATAATAATATAATAAATAAAAGGAAAACAGATATTATGAAAATAGCATTTAAATCTTGTCAATTTTTCATCATGTTACCTATATTACTTTTAGTCCCTTTTACTCTGGATAAAATGGCATCTAAGTTTAGCAAACAAAAAGTGCTTCAACCAGGTCTCGTCCTATTCGTCGGTATTTGTGATTAGTCACTTCCGTGTTGGTTTCACGAGAGAGACCGGAAGGTTGCCGCTTGGTGCTAATGTGCTAAAAAGTACTTTGTTGTAGTATATTGTGAAACCTTACACTTTAATTATTCAGTTTATGTGTTTTAGTGCATTGTTAAGGACCACATTCTGAAGTACATAACTTAGTTCAAGTTTACTTGTGCATTTGTGCCATTTTGTGAAGATACACAGTTGTACACTCCATTTATGTTGTGTATATATCTGATTAATCTGTGTAGGATGTGTTTGGTTGAAATAATTAACCCGATACTAAAGTGCTTTAATTTATGCAACACACCCTGATGGCATTCTGAACTATTTCACATTTTGGCGAATTGTGGCTAATTCGTACAAATTTGTATGATCTCAGTAATACATTGTCTTATAATCTACATGCATGCCATTTATGGTTATGTTTATGGGTGGAGCTTCATGTTTATTTTATTTCCATTTGAATCACATTGAACGAATTCAAAAGAAATTGCCGCCTTGTAAAATAGTTAGATTTTCGCATGAGATCGGGTTGGATTTTTCTCCTTAAAAAGATTGTTTGTGCATTGTTAATATCTTGCTATGTTGTTCTATGCGTTTTGTCGTTTACGCAAATTAAAAAACACTTAATCACTGAGTATTTTCATTTGTAATTTCATTAACACTGAGTGGAAGTGTGTGTGATAAGTGACCCGAACAGAACATTGCTCTCTTATTGATCCTTCATTGACTTTCCAATTCCGGTGTTCGGCACAAAACTGGCAGCAAACTCTCAATTGAGCCGAGTCCCAGAGATACGGACACTGGCATCCAGACAGATTTGTGACTCTTTGCACTCTGTCAAATGATTAGTTCCAATAAGTTTTTGAGGTTAATGGAGTGGGGACTCAAAGACAAACTGGAACAACATAAAACGCATGAAACGTAGGTGGCTAAAGACCAAATCCTTTGCGCAGTTTGGCAGCATTTGCAGAGGTGAGGAGTTCAAAGGGAGTGTCTAAGCAACCATGACTAAACAGGCTCACTGAACGTATGTAAAATAATTTCGTACCCTGAGTGCATTAAAGCGCTGTAAGTGCTCACTTTCCTAGCCTTACTCACACGAGTTTAAGATAAATGTAATGCTTAATATATGTAACCTTGATGAAAATGCATAAGGCAACCCTTTATCTCTTGATAAAATATTGTAACAGTTGACATTAGAGGTATTGTGTTTGTGAACCAAACTTTCTGTGAAGGATCATTGTTTGGACCTTCTGAATGATCCTCTGTTTTGAGTCTGAATGAGACGTCCTGAACATCTTGGGCATGAAATGATGAATAAACTAGTTTTTGAATGGGGATCAGTTGACGGACTAAATTAGGCATATTTGTTCAGTTTGGCATTTTACATGCCACCCCTGCTCTCAACAGACGCGGCACCCCGGTTGGGAAACACTGTTCTAAATAATAGGCTTGTTTGAGATGCGCCTCGCCTCGCCTGAATTGTAGGCGAGAGTAGGCGGCTGCAGTGAGGGGAGGAGTGAAATAAGATAATAATAATAACGCGACTAAACGAGACGAAATAACGTTATAACATTTCATTTCGTCTCGTTTTGGTCAACGAAAATGGAGACATTTTAGCATTGTTTTTATTTTGTAAACCACATTTAGTCTCGTTTTTATTCGTCAACAATATTGCATTATACATTTAATTATAGTCATCGTCACATGACCAGCATTTACGTTGCATCTCGTCTTGTTTTCATCACGTGATAAAGGTTCGTTGACGACGATATTTAGTCATAATTTTCGTTGACGAAAGCAACACTACATGTGAGTTGTTCAAAACAAGGTAAAGTAAGCTAAGGAAGAATTATCCAGGTGTGCACATCACCAATGGATCCTCTGCAGTGAATGACGGCACCCGTCAGAATGAGAGTCCAAACATCTGATAAAAACATCACAATAATATCTTTATCTGTTTAAATAAAAAAAACATAAGTAATCTCCAGTCCTTCAATTAACATCTTGTGAAGTGAAAAAAAGTTGTGTTTATAAGAAACAAATCCAAATACAAGCTAAAATAAGAGTACTCAATGTTGCTTCTGCCAGTGAAAAAGTAATTTTGTCTGAATCAGGAGAGAAATATGCACAGATCAAGTACCGTTTACGAGTGAAAACAGTTCAAAACAAATATGTCAGTGGATTTTGATGTGGGAAGACTACAGGAGATGTACTTTTTCACTGGAGGAAGCATTATTATAGATTATGGACTCATATTGTAGCCAGAAGCGATGGTTTAATGTGAATGATTAACACCTTGATGGATTTGTTTCTTACTAACATGCAGCTTTTCACTTCACTAGATGTTACATTAAGTGATGGACTGTAGTCATGTGGATTATGTGATGTTTTTATCAGCTGTTTGGACTTTCATTCTGACGGCACCCATTCCATTAGTGAGTGATGCAATGCTAAATTTTTCCAAATTTGTTTGGATGAAGAAATAAACACATCCATATCTTAGATGGCCCGAGAGTGAGTACATTTTTAGCAAATTTTCATTTTTGGGTGAACTATTCCTCTAAAACATAAAACAGCTCTGGTAATGTATCAGCCTCAGGGTCTCGTCCATTGAGGGTCGTCCTTGTGTGTGCTGCTTCTTGTGCATGTATATGAACACATCTCATGATGAGAGGCTGGAATAATGCCACTGCATGCGACTCCGTGACAGCTTGGAGACGCCTGGTGCTTCCCATCATGCTTCTCACGTTCCTTCTCCTTCATCTCTACCTAATTAACAATCCATGCAGCCCAACACGCTATGCTGTGACCTTGCCTGCCCCGCTGCAGCCTCTGCATGGAAACTGTGACCCATACGGTACCGTGAGGACATGGTCCAGTCAGGCGGAATATTGATTCGGAGCAGATATTGATCGCATATACAACACTCCATTAACTTCACTTGCATGAACATGATGCAAGTTAACACCTCGTGCCTGCTGATACGAGTACTGCTTGTGCACAGTTTCACAGTTTTGCACCAGTATGTGGCTACCAGTGAGTGTCTGTTATGAGTGGTTACATTCCTGATTGGCTTGGTTGGTGAATGATTCAATGACTCTTATTATGCTTTATTAAAATTAGCGTTTTGTTTAGAGATGTACTTTCTCCCGCATTATCATTATGTGATTCACTGCTGGTTTACCTTTGATTCTGATTTTTTGTCTCTGAATGAGATGCAGTTGCTGATACTCACTTGTTCTGGTGTTTGGAGCCCTGCAGATGTGCGTGGTATTGTGCCACGGAGTTGAGCGTAACACTGCAGACCTCACATGTGTGACTCCGCTTCAGGCCTAAGAGCATACATAAATTAAGCGTTAGCATTAGTTCTGGCACGTCACGTGAGTCAAGCTTGCATCAGCTGATTCTCAGCTGATCACATCTACCTATAGGAATACGACACCTATCGCAGCATTCCTATATAAGCTCTATTCAGTATTATTCAGCAGCTTTTCAGCTTGCTCAAGAGCAAATTAAGCATCGCTGCTCGCAAATCAAACTGTTGCAGCGTGTTTCAGAACATCTGAAATCCACGTCTAAGATAAGTGAATGCTGTTTTAATTCATATCGCTGTGTATATTACCTGGTCTGCTAATTGAAAAAAAAAAAGAAAGATGTTAGCAGTTTTGCATCGTTTGCAGGACGAAATATTAAGCATATTTGCAGCAGCATTTACGCATCTGTGTTCATACAGCTGGAGCAACACATAGTCTAGATCATGTAACTTATTGCTCTGAGGACACGACGATAGTTAAGGCCATGAGAACAAGTTTAAATGAAACAAGCCCAGAACAGAACCATACCGCCAAACCAAACTTTATGCTAAGTATCTATCATTTTGACGATAGTGGTCCTGACAGAAATATAAACACATCTATTTGACTAACTATGTTGATTCCAACAGCAAATGCCCTCAAATCTTTTCTGAGGGTATAATGCCCTATTTTGACAAACACCTACAGACAGATAAAACCCTGAGCATTTGACCATTTCTTCACCGTGCATGAATTACATGGATAAATTAGCATATAGCCCGAGCACAGCACATTGCCATTCTTTCTCAAGCAAAATAAATAATATAATGGTGAATTGATGAACATGTCTTATTCATTCTAAAATCAAAAGAAAAAAGAAATTCAATTAGATTTTGCTTAAAGAAAAATAAAGGGCCACTTTAAAGACCATTTAAGGCAAAAATATTTTACATAGCTGTCTGATAATTTTGTATATTTATATGTATTTATGTATTTAAAATACATATGCAAGATATATGCAAACTTAAACTTCAGTAGTTGTGCTGCCTTATATATATATATATAAACAGGTTTTTAATGTAATATTAAAAACTAATTTTTTAATGTTATATTATTTTTAAATATATATATCATATTAAAAACGTTTTTTATTATTTTAACTTGTTATTTTTATATATTTATATATTATATATTAACTTATTTATTATATATAAATTTATAAACGTTCTATAATTTTTTGTCTAAAATTATCCTTAAAATATGTACGTAGCAATGAGAATCACCACTGAGATGACGAATTACAAAAAAAAAAAAAGCTAATCAGTTGGACATTTTTTATTATAGTAACATAAATTTTACTCTCTTTTTTTTTGTCTAAAATGATCTTTGAAAATGTGTACATACTAATGAGAATAACCATTGAGGCTAATGAAAATTACCAAAAAGAAAATATGCATAATTCTCAAAAAATAATGTTAAAGGGGTCATATGATGCGATTTCAAGTTTTCCTTCTGTCTTTACATTTATTTTGAAAGATGAAGCTCGCGATTATGGTAAGGGGCGTTACATTTCTGACGAGTGCTTGCGGTGTTCGGCCAATCACAATGCACTGGGTCAGCTGGCCAATCAGAGCAGACTGCACTTGTCGGAAGGAAGGACTTTGTAGAAAACTAAGCGTCTGAGAGAGGCGGGGCATGCAGACATCCCTGCTCCAGTAAACAGATTATGCATGAAACCAAATATATATTCCTCCTTCACACATAAACATAAGCTTATGTCCACATATGACTCGTATATTCAAACAGCATGTCTGTTTGTGTAACCATCTAGTGCATGATGTGATTTACTATTGGGAGATGGGTGGTGTTAAATGACCCTTGCATATGCCACAAAGCAAGCACCTAGTCTGTTTAAACAACGGGAATCCTTTGTTATCCCAGTATCCGGGCAATCAGGCCAGATAATGAATGGAGGCTCATCTAGATGCCTCATCAATAACATTTACCACGGATCTATAGCCACAGATTACGTTGGCCTCGTCTTTGCAACCACAGCGCCTCAGCTTTTCTTTGGCATTGTGCACATTCAATGATTAAAAACACATAACAGAAGGGGCCGTGAAACACGCTGATAAGTCGTATCCTCCCACAGCTCTGTCTTCCTACACCAAATCTGTTCTCCGCCTCTAACTAGGACAGACCAGTAAATAATAAGCTTGTGTGAAGCTCGGAAAATCAGTCGCTGGCTTCCTGTGAGGTGGGAAGTCTGATGAAAATGCTATAAAAATGGGATTCGATTACCGCTGAACACTGATTTGGCACCCTGCTGTTAGCGCCGCAAACTTTTTTAGTTAACGACAGAACAGCATTATCACAGACAATTGCTAATGAGCAAAAATAGCATGTCAAATACTATTCTACGTTTGTAGTCATAGACTAATATTACACGCCACAAAAATAGAGCATATTCAATCCAGAGAGTGCTTGTACTATTATTGGTGAGTGAAATACTGGGAAGCCTTAATGAAAACTGCAGCAATGAGTCATATTTATGAGTCACAAGCGTGACGTGAGGGACAGGACACTTTTCAACCTGAATCCAACATTTGTCCAAACGGCAGCTGGTACGCACCTCCCACGAAGTGGTTTCTAGTCCCTCTGAGTCAAAACTCACCAACGAGGTGGCTTTGTTGTCTGCAACCTCCGCCGTTGTCGGTTTGTTTGGCGAGCAAAGATCTTGTGCTCTGGGAGGTTCTTTGTCGCGCCATTAATTACCTATTGATAACTGCCTCGAACGAAAGCTCTTTAGCTAGCTGCTGAATAATGCAAAACTTTAATGAAATGCCTGCTTGCGAAAAGACTCTAAGACCATTAAAATGCCTCTACTGAGGCCTGTAAAACAGAATGGTCAATGCTAAAATGATATCTGTGCTTAAACGGTGGCATTTACGGCGGGGTTATTCATGAGCCATTACCACAAACTAATGAAAACAAACATTGTTACAATTGAATGTGCTGTTTTAAAGGGACAGTACACCCAGAAATTAAAGCTTTGTCATCATTTGCTCACCCTCATTTTGTTCTAAACCCGTAAGAGTTTCATTTTTTTCTGCAGAACACAAAATAAGTCACCCTTGTATGTGAAATACAAGTTTTTAAAGGGATAGTTCGCCCAAAAATGAAAATTTCTTTCATTAATTACTCACCCTCATGTCGTTCCAAACCCGTAAAACCTTCGTTCATCTTCGGAACACAAATTAAGATATTTTTGATGCATTCCGAGAGCTCTCTGACCCTCCCATAGACAGCAAGGATCCTAACATGATTAAGGCTCAGAAACGTAGCAAGGAGATCACTAAAATAGTCCATGTGACATCAGTGGTTCAACCGTAATGTTATAAAGCTACGAGAATACTTTTTGTGCTCAAAGAAAACAAAAATAACGACTTTATTCAACAATTCGTCTCCTCCGCATCACCCTATAGCGCCATTTTGGAGAGTATCACATACGTAAACAACGTATGCAAGGTATGTACGCGGATACGTTGTTTACGTTCAGATCAAAGCGTAAACAACGTAAACAGCATAAGACCATTACATGTACAGTGCTGCTGATACAGAACAGCATACATTGTTTACGTATGTGAAACTCTCCAAAATATTACAGGTGAGTAAATCATGGCATAATTTTATTTTTTGGGTGAACTATCCCTTTAATGCCCTGAAATGCTGGCATTCATGCTCCAATAAACAGATTATGCATGAAACCAAATATATGTTCGTTCCAACACAAAACAGTCACCCTTGTATATGAAATATGATATGACGTTAAACTTAAAAAAAAGCATGCAAAAGTATCATAAAAGTGGTGCAAACAACTGCACTATATTCCAAGTCTTTTGAAGTCATATGAATCTTTGTGTGATGAACAGAATGAAATTTTGAAAATTCGACTGAAAATTCTGATTGCATTAATTGCGGTAATCGGGTCCTATTAAAAGAATAATTTATAGTGGTTCTGTGAACCAAATCAAACGATTCACTCAAAAGATCCAATTCAAAAAAACAATCTGTTCACTAATCCATATTTTTTTGAATAATGACTTCTTTGCTTTATTTTTATTACTTTATTTAGATTTTCATCACACAAAGCTATGGCTTCAGAAGTCTTGGGGAAAAAGTGCAAATGGGTCACTTTTTTATAATTTTATGGGATTTTCGCATCATTTTTACATCTTAAAACCATTGTGTTCCACAGAAGAAATAAGTCAAACACTATGTATGTGTTTGGAACAACTTAAGCGCGAGTAAATGATAACAGAATCACTTTTAATTCATGTTTGGGTAAACTATCCCTATCTATGTTTTGCCCGTTCCTCTCAGAACATACCGTTTAGATCATCTCCGTCCTCCAGACTTTTACCCAGTTGTGCGAGGAGGTTAGCTTGGGCTGCGTTTTTTTTGTGCTTCTTTCCGTCGTAGTGCTGTCTGGCCATGCCGGGGTTGTTGAACCAGGCCTTACACATTTGGCAGTAGCGTTCTGAGAGTCTGCCATGAATAGAAGGACTTCCCGGCGAGTCTTCAGTCACCATATGCTCTGAATTGGCTGTCACCTCTGTAAAGAGAGGGTATAACAGACTTAGTATACTTAGTGTACCATACATTAATTACCAAACAGGCTACAGGTAAAAGCTATTAATGTGAAAACACCTGAGAAATTGGGCTTTGGCATTCATACAGAAGATGCATTATATGATCTTGCCCTCCATTCCTGCCAATTAATTTTCTACATTTTGAAGAAAAAAATCAAAAGAAAGCAAGCAAAAGAAATAAAAAAAGGGAAATATTTTTAGAAATATTTTTTTGTGCAACATACCAACACAAGTTAACAGCCAGCCTTAAAGTTAAAATGGCAAATCCATTTTTTATTTTATTTACCAATATCCAGTCCAACACAGCAGGTGTGTGATAGCATTAATAACACATATTAGAATTTCCAAGACATGTGTACGTGATTCAATTACATATTTTGCTTGCAGTCTGTCTCACCTGTCAAATTACGGGGCACAGGCTCACGTCAGTTTGAAGTATTTCATGGGTAAAGGGCACAAATTAGGAACACGGGATGTCCCCTGTGGCTGCAGCTTAATAAGATGCATTCTGAATCTCATGACACTAATATGATGAATATGGTTCATAAACAGACGGGAGGTAATTTGTCTCACACTAGCAGGTCTAAGCTTGTGTTTTCCTCGTCTGTTTTTGAGAAGTGAATTTTTATTACAAAGTCGAGAACAAGGGATGTTTTCACCCATCTAATTATACTCCGTCATAGTAAACGACAAACAAGAGACTACACTGACAGCAAGCCCACGTCATAACGTATAAAATAGGAACGGTGGATGGCACAAATGGGGCGTCTCTTGGCTCTTCCACGGTTTTTCAAGTGGAGGATAGATGACACTGGCAGCTCTACATGTGTATTTATAGAAGGTATCAAAATAACTAGATAATATGAAGCATTCTTTTTCCTTTTTTTCTTCCGTCTCAATTTTCATCCAATTCCCTGAGGTGTTTGAATAGAGGGTTGTTTTCATTATAACACATAATCAGAGTGTGATATGGAACTCTACTGTGACAAATACAGTGGCCTCAAAGTCTGAGACCACAAGTGAAAATGTTTAGCATTTTTTCCCCAATTTGATATACAAATGTTTTCATTGCAAATTATGGTATCAGCATAACAAATCGAGAATGAGTATTTAATCTATTTGAACATTTCTCTGCCATTTTCAAAAATGCTTTCTGGATGTACTGTGATAAGCAGCAAAAGAGAACACTTAAGCTCACTGAAGACAAGTCAACAGTCAGCGATTAAATAAGAATAAGAAACTAATTGAAAGCAATAGGTCCAAAAAACTACAGTAGAACAAATAAATAAGAAATGCTACATTCAATATATAAAAAAACACTGCATATTCTTCACTGTGTAAATTAAATATATTTCTTATTATAGTTACAAAAGTGATTTAGTCAAGAGCAGTAAGAGATTTTCTCTCTTTTGTTGTTTGATTAACATTAATGATAGACAGCAGGAATATTAGACTGCTATCACTTTAAGAGCTGCACGGATCCAATATCCTGTTACACGTGTTTTCTTTCTCAGCTGTTTGCTTTTATTTAAAACATAAATTACTGTGTTTACAATGATACTTGCAAAGACGGGCATTTTGACACATCCAAGTGTGTATTTAACCATTCAAGGCCAATAAAGTGGCAAAAATAATACTCCTGTGCCATATGAGCACCAACTTCACATGCGCATGCCTCTCTGACAGGACTCAGAAACAGTCTCTCAGACAGCGCACACACATAGAGAAATTCGTTTTTTTTTATTTTTTTTTATTTAGGCTAGTATTCGTTTTTTGTGATATTGACACTAGTGACAAGAATTATGAATTTTCTATGGTATCAAAAATTTAAAAAAAAAACAACAACTATATTGTGATATACTGTATATCATTACCGTGAAATAAAATTACTCATATCATCATACAAGATTTTGGTCATATTGCCCACCCCTACTGAAGACTGGAGTAATGTAAGGAATGGAGTAATCACAGGAATAAATTACAGTTTAAAATATATTTAAATAGAAAACAGTTATTTTATATTGTAATATATTTCACAGTATTTCGGTTTTCACTGTATTTCAATAAAATCTTTTTGACTTCTTTCAAAAATATGAAAAAAACGTACCAACTTTTAAATGTTAGTGTTTACTGTAAAAAGGTGCAGGTGCTACAGATCAACATAAATCCATAAATCCATGCGTTATCATTTGAAGCTTTCATAATATCTTATTTAAACTAGCTTTACAGTAATTGTGTAGATCTGCAGTGCAGCGGTTTGGTCAATTACTTGATAATAGCAATGACACTCAAGGATAATTTAATCAAATTATATCCTCATCTGTATTCCAGCCTATCAGACCATTTCATCTAGGTCTTTTACACCTTATCATTATTATCATAGATAAAGAGTTATATAAGGTCTCACTAGAAACAACAACCTTTTTAGCTCATCCTCAATAACACCACTGTCAGGTAGAGTCCAGCCTCGTCAGGCCCAATCATCTCACACACCCGTTCACAATCACCGGAGTACTGATCAGCCGCACCTGTCACCACCTCATCAGCACTAGTTTAAATGCACAGCCACGGCAGTCACACTTCGTCTGGTCTTGAGTTCACTACGCTACTCCTTACCTGACTCACTGAACCCGGACTCCATCCTGATACCTTCCTGTCTCTGTGCCATCCTCTTCAGCCCGATCCACCAAAGAACCCTTCATCACGTGAGCCCGATCCCTTCCATTCCATAGACTGTTGCTCTAACCCGTTTGCTCTCCATCTCTCTCACTCTCCCAGCACCTGTTCAATAAAGCTCTGTTTACTTTACCTCTCCGTCCCTGGTCTCCTTCTGTACTGTGACAACCAGTTCATGAATAACATGAAAAATCACCATCAAGATCTTTTATGATGGTGGAAGCAGCCGCATAGCAACTATTCGACTGTAACCGAATAATGCTGAGCTACTACTATGACTGCTGAACAAACAACAAAAGGACAGTTTCTTGAACCCTATTATGGTTACTAATAGTTTTTAATGGTGTTGCTTAGTGATGCTTGCTATTTGGACAAACACTTTAAAAAGTCAGCACGTAACTCGTCCCGCACCATTTGTGCTGTGGACATAAAGGCACATTAAATCATACGACTTGTTGGTGAGAGCTGCGCTATTACTTTCTAAGCGACTGCATATATGATTGCTGCCTGGTGGATGATAAAACAGGCTAAACTAACCATTTTGCAGAAAATGTATAAATCTAGTCTTGTGAATGGATTTCACCTCATGTATTTCCGTCATTACCAACATAGTTCAACGATTCAGTGTTTCCTAAAACCATAGTTCAAACGAACATTCGCAAACAGCATGACGAAAGAGGAACCTGCGATGAATTCAAACATCAAATAAAGCAAAACGACAAGGAACAAAAAATAATAGTAGTCATCGGCTGCCATGTTTGTTACAGCATCATCTCAGAGATCTCGAATTGATGAATTAGTAGAAGCTACTACTCCACCGGGTCCTATATTGTTGATCCAACGCGGATCAAACAACGAAGGTGCGACCATGTTTGGGAAACAGTCATGACTAGCTAGTTAGTTGGTGGTTAAGCAGTGAGTTACATTGTTGTACGGGAAACCCCAGATTAACTTCTCTTTTATTTGATCTGTTTCAGCATATACAGTGCTGCTTGAAAGTTTGTGAACCCCTTGCAGAATCTTATTTTTAACAAAATAAGAGAGGTCATACAAAATGCTTGTTATTTTTTATTTAGTACTGTCCTGAGTAAGATATTTTACATAAAAGATGTTTACATTTAGTCCACAGGACAAAAAATTGCTGAAAATTAAAATAACCTCCTTCAAAAGTTTGGGAACCCTTGGTTCTTAATACTGTGGGTGTGTTTACCTGGATGATCTACGACTGTTTTTTTTTGTTTTGTGATGGTTGTTCATGAGTCCCTTGTTTGTTCTGAACAGTTAAACTGCCTGCTGTTCTTCAGAAAAATCCTCCATGTCCTGCAGATTCTTCAGTTTTCCAGCATCTTTTGCATATTTGAACCCTTTCCAGCAGTGACTGTATGATTTTGAGATCCATCTTTTCACACTGAGGACAATTGAGGGACTCAAACACAACTATTAAAAAAGTTTCAAACATTCACTGATGCTCCAGAAGGAAACATGATGCATTAAGAGAAAACATTTGAACAGGATGAAGATGTCCCAATTTTTCTTATTTTGTAGAAATATCATTTTTTTCCATTTAGTACTGCCCTTCAGAACAACAGAAGATACTTGCATGTTTCCCGGAAGACAAATTAAGTACAATTTACCTTGATCTTTACCTTGAATTTGAAGATCAAGGTAAATTGTACTTAATTTGTCTTCCGGGAAACATGCAAGTATCTTCTGTTGTTCCGAAGGTCAGTACTAAATGGAAAAAAATTATATTTCTACAAAATAAGAAAAATTGGGACATCTTCATCCTGTTCAAAAGTTTTCACACCCTGGCTCTTAATGCATCGTATTTCCTTCAGGAGCATCAGTGAATGTTTGAACCTTTTTTAATAGTTGTGTTTGAGTCCCTCAATTGTCCTCAGTGTGAAAAGATGGATCTCAAAATCATACAGTCACTGCTGGAAAGGCTTCAAATATGCAAAAGATGCTGGAAAACTGAAGAATCTGCAGGACGGAGGATTTTTCTGAACAACAGTGCTCAGTTTAACTGTTCAGAACAAACAAGGGACTCATGAACAACCATCACAAAACAAAAAAACCAGTCGTAGATCATCCAGGTAAACACACACACAGTATTAAGAACCAAGGGTTCCCAAACTTTTGAAGGGGGTTATTTTAATTTTCAGCTATTTTTTGTCTTGTGGACTAAATGTAAACATCTTTTATGTAAAATATCTTACTCAGGACAGTACTAAATAAAAATAACATTTTGTATGATCTCTCTTATTTTGTTAAAATTACTCACATTTTCACAGATTCTGCAAGGGTTTCACAAACTTTCAAGCAGTACTGTATATGCAGTCATTCTGGATTGTTTTCCGTGCTTTTTCCGTTTTTTCTTTTTTGGGTAATTTTGCACCCTCAGGTGTCTTGGCCACGCGCAATTATGCACGCTAAGTGAGTCAGTGATGTGTTGTTCTTGCTACAGGCCCTGCTCTTATCATAAACATGCCACAAGCGACAGCCTTGAGAACATAAACCTCTAATATGCCTAATGCACTCACATATGAATGGAATAAAAAACAGGACATCCGGCTGCAGTTGCAAGTCCAAGTTTTTTTTACATTTTCTGAAAATGTAAGTGGTGCGTGCCCATGCAAAAGTTCCCACCATCACACTATGGTGTTGTAGGTAGTTGCCTAAGGCATCAAATCGCCTTGCTAGTACCAGGTTGGACCGCCTTTTGCCTTCAGAACTGCATTAATTCTTCATGGCATGCCTGGAATTCAACAAGGTGCTGGAAACATTCCTCAGAGATTTTGGTCCATATTGACATGATAGCATCATGTTGTTGCTGCAGATTTGTCGGCTGCACATCTATGATGCAAATCTCCCATTCCAGCACATCCCAAAGGTGCTCTATTAGATTGAGATCTGGTGACTGTGGAGGCCATTTGAGTCTAGTGAACTCATTGTGTTCAAGAAATCAGTTTGAGATGATTTGAGCTTTGTGAGATGGCACATTATCCTGCTGGAAGTAGCCATCACTAGATAGTTACACTGTAGTCATAAAGGGATGGACATGGTCAGCAACATTACTCAAGCTGTGGTGTTTAAACAATGCTTAGTACTAAGGGTGCCAAAGTGTGCCAAGATAAAAAATATCCCACCACCACAAGCCTGAACCATTGATACAAAGCAGGATGGATCCAGGCTTTCATGTTGTTTACACCAAATTCTGACCCTACTATCCAAATGTTGCAGCAGAAATCAAGACTGATCAGACCAGGCAACCTTTTCCCGATCTTCTATTGTCCAATTTTAGTGAGCGTGTGCAAATTGTATCCTTAGTTTTCTGTTCTTAGCTGAGAGGAATGGCGCCCAGTGTGCTCTTCTGCTGCTGTAGCCCATCTGCTTCAAGGTTTGATGTGTTGTGTGTTCAGAGATGCTCTTCTGCAAACCGCGATTGTAACAAGTGGTTATTTGAGTTATTGTTGACTCTCTATCAGCATGAACCAGTCTGGCCTTTCTCCTCTGACCTCTAGCATCAACAAGGCATTTTTGCCCAAAGAATTGCCTATTACTGGATATTTTCCTATTTCTCCATTCACTGTAAATGGTTGTGCGTGAAAATCCCAGTAGATCAGCAGTTTCTGAAATACTCAGACCAGCCATCTGGTACCAACAACCACCTCACATTCAATGTCACTTGATTTACATTCTTTCCCATTCTGATGCTTGGTTTGAACTTCAGCAGATCATCTTGATCAGTGTTGTGGAGTAACTAGTTACATGTAATGGCGTTATGTAATTTAGTTACAAAATAAATGTAACTGTAATCAGTTACAGTTACTGAGAAAAATGTGTAATTAAATTAGTTACTTATAAAAATGTTAACGACTACATCTGAATATTTTCACGCACACACACACACATCCACACACATACAGGTGCATCTCAAAAAATCAGAATATTGTGAAAAAGTAATTTTTTTGGTAACTTGTTTCAAAACGTGAAACTTTAATATATTCTAGATTCATAACGTAAAGCAAAACATTTCAATAGTTTTTTTGTTTTAATTTTGATGATTAGAGCTTACAGCTCATGAAAGTCAAAAATCCAGTATCTCAAATATTAGAATATTTCCTAAGATCAATCAAAAAAAAAAAAAAGATTTGCAAAACAGAAAAGTTCACGTTCTTTAAAGTATGTTCACTTATGCACTCAATACTTGGTCGGGGCTCCTTTAGCACAAATGACAGCATCAGTGAGGTGTGGCATGGAAGCGATCAGCCTGTGGCTCTGCTGAGGCACTATTGAGCCTTCAGCTCGTCTGTATTGTTGGATCGACTGTTTCTCATCTTTCTCTTGAAAATATCCCATAGATTCCATATGGGCTTCAGGTCAGGCATGTTGGCTGGCCAATTAAGCACAGTAATATCATGGTCAGCTAACTGCTTGGAAGTGGTTTTGGCACTGTGGGCAGGTGCTAAAGTCCTGCTGGATAAGGAATTCAGCATCTCCATAAAGCTTGTCAGCAGATGGAAACATAAAGTGCTCCAAAATCTCCTGGTAGGCGGCTGCATTGACTTTGGACAAGTGTTTGAATCGGCTTTGCTTGACAGTATTCTCAAGCTTGCGGTCATCCCTGTTGCTTGTGCACCTTTTCCTACCCAATTTCTTCCTTCCAGTCAACTTTGCATTTAATATGCTTTGATACAGCACTCTGTGAGCAGCCACCCCTTTCAGTAGTGACCTTCTGTGACTTACCCTCTTTTTGGAGGGTGTCAATGATTTTCTTCTGGACCATTGCCAAGTCAGCAGTCTTCCCCATTATTGTGGTTTCAAAGAACAAGAGATACCCGGAATTTATACTGTAGAGATGGTCATTTAATGAAACTCAAATGTAAATATTCGAATATTTTGAGATGCTGGATTTTTGACTTTCATGAGATGTAGGCTCTAATCATCCAAATTAAAACAAAAAAACTTTTGAAATGTTTTATTTTACATGTAATGAATCTAGAATATATGAAAGTTTCATTTTTTGAAATAAGTTACCAACAAAATTTACTTTTTCCCAATATTCTAATTTTTTGAGATGCACATGTACACATACAGATTTATTTAATTTCTTTTCCAAATTGCACTGACTGTTCTAAAATATAACACATAGGGCCCTATGATTTCCGCGATGCAGAAAATGCAGACGGATTGGTGAAATCCAATCATAAAAATGGACTTTACTGTATAACACAGAATGTCACAGAATATGCCATATTTTGGATGAATAAATCAAAAGTAGTTTGTAGATACACTTGTATCAAAACACGATATGGACGTATCTGTTTACTGTTTGGTAAACAGTGGACTGTTTTTTATGGACTGTTTTTTTTGTTTTAATTTGGATGATTAGAGCCTACAGCTCATGAAAGTCAAAAATCCAGTATCTCAAAATATTCGAACAGATTATATGACTATAAACACAGAATAGGACTTATTTGATAACTGTTTTATTTTCTATTTGGGTTGATGTATATGCTTTATTTTTTTTTATTAACTGTGTTTCCTGTCATATGCGAAGATTTTATTTCAAAAACAGTATCATAGCTATTAAACTATTTCTTGTTTTGATTTTAAATCTGTATTTGACCTCAGAACGATCTCAAAGTAAAAAGTGGTGCTAACGTCTGATTTTGTGGTGGCTGTGCTTTAAATTTCAGTTATTATAATCTTAATTCAAGTGATAAAGAATTTTGAAAGTCTGACAGTAATCAGTGTTGAGTCCTACTGTAAGGTTAACCCTGCCTGGTTTCAAAATGATTAACAGTTGAAAATATTTGTTAGAAATGTAGAAAAGTAATTGGTAACATTAATAAAGTAATTGAAATAGTTACACTATTTATTACATTTTATATAGGGTAACTTGTAATCTGTAACCTATTTCAAAATAACCTTCCCAACACTGGTCTTGATATACAAGGCTAAATGCATTGAGTTGCTGCCATGCGATTGGCTGATTACATATTTGCATTAACAAGCTATTTAAAATGTAGGTTTAGGGATTTTTAAAAATCCCCATACTCTTAACTGTGAGCAGCAATCATATCATATCTCATACCATACCTCATCAAACATCAGTAATACATCATAACTAGAGCATTAATAATAATGAACTCATTCTCAAGAATTATTGCCTCATTATCTCATATTCAGAGTCCATCCATGGTTGAACAGGTCACTTCCCCGCTGGCTGCTTAGGGCGTCATAAACACGTAAAACTCATTTAAGTATGAATACTGACCCGGGAACAGCCTGGCCTTTAAATACTGTGATTTAGACCGTGTGAACCTGATCTTAGATCAGCACCTTCTACCTTTAGATGTGATAGCAGGTGGCTCCCCCAGCAGTAGCCTGAGTCTCTTGGTGTGGATCTTGCCCTGGTAGTGCGACTGGGCCACCACCGCCGAAGTGAACGACATATTGCACAGCGTGCAGCACTTGTTCTTGTCCACGTCTCCCTCCACACTGCCCTGGGACGACACAGAAGCAGACACATACTCTGATATCCTTTAACCGGGACCATTTATCACCTTCAGCTAATAATACAGGAGAACAGGATGATTTTTGAAGCAAATGTGTTATTATAACTTTAAGAGGAAGATATGAAGTTTGGCTGTCAAAGTGGCAGATGTGGTTCGCGCTGTGGAGAAGTAATTTACAAACTTCTAAAAATGGTGTAGCGTATATTCTACTTCCTACTGCTCTGATGCAACCGCTCTGAGTTTCTCATATTGACTGATATTGGCTCTGAGCGCTGTTGGGGAAGTTACTTTGAAACTTTAGCTCACCAAGCTAAAAGCTAATCGTTATTTAAAGTGCAATCAAACTACTCTTTGAAAAGTCATTTAGATTGAAAATATATTAAAAATTCCCCAAAATATAGTCAATGAAATACAAGTAATTCAAACTAAAAATATATTTATGTAAATATATTTCAACATGTATATTAGCAACATATTTTTGGTCATTTTTTAATATGTTGATATATATTTAAAATATGTATGTATTTAAAGTTTTTTGAATATTGGCATATATGTGATCAGATACACCAGATAAAAAAACACCAGAATACAAGCAATTATATATAACTAATATTTATTTATTACTTTAACAGCAATAATCAGCAGATAACTATTGCTATAAAAACAACATTTAAAATACAATTTAATTGCAATGACTTGATTCTGTGAATCAATTATTTATACTTGATAAGTATTTGTATTTATTAATGTACATGGACCATTTGAATGAACCATTTCACCAGAGTGAATCGGACTTTCTCTCTAATGCAAAGAGGATGATTTAGGTGAACAACATTTGATTATTGCCATTTTGCTATTGCTATTTGTTGGCTAAAGTAGCTTGCTACTGTAAGAGCTAATAATATCACGCTAAGTTCCGTTAGCTACTCTCCAGCATTACTGCTGTGCTATTGCTTCATTCTGTCTTTATAGGTACATCAGCTCCTCAGTTCGATATATAAATCAATGGTCACTATCTTAAGTGCTAGGAAAGTGGCATTGCAAGGTCAATGTCATGCAATAAACATGCAGAGCTAGAGCAGGTTAGTTGTCTTTATAGATGAGTCTATGGAATTTGACTGCAAAAAACATTATAACACAATCTATGAATTCATTTTATGTCAAGAAATCAAAATTTGTGACCCTGAAGCACAAAAGCAGTCTTAAGTAGCACAGAAATATTTGTAGCAACAGCCAACAATACATTGTATGTCAAAATGATTGATTTTTCTTTTATGCCAAAAATCATTAGGATATTAAGTACAGATCATGTTCCATAAAGATATTTTGTAAATAAATATATCAAAACGTAATGTTTGATTAGTAATATGCATTGCTAAGAACTTCATTTGGACAACTTTAAAGGAGATTTTCTAAATATTTAGATTTTTTTTGCACCCTCAGATTCCAGATTTTCAAATAGTTGTATCTCGACCAAATATTGTCCTATCCTAACAAACCATACATCAATGGAAAGCTTATTCATTCAGCTTTTAGATGACGTATAAATCTTAATTAAAAAAAAATTGACCCTTATGACTGGTTTTGTGGTCCAGGGTCACACTTATCCTTTCTTCGCTGAAAAATAGACAGCATTTTCATGTTTTTTGCATGAAATGTTTCCATTAAACATTACATAATGAGACCCTGATTGACTTTCTGAGCTTTAATTGTTCTGTAAGCCTTGCGCTTGAACCGAGATCTGTCCTTCCTGCCGCAGGCATCGATCTGTGTCCACTCATTCTGCTTCTTGTTATTCCTCTCCTGGCATGCCATAATGTCTTTATTTACTCTCCCGAGGGGAAAGACCTCATCAACATCCAGCTAAACCGAAAAGGTCTGTTTAGACATTGACCTTGGCTGGAAACACATCACAGCAACCCGTTTAATTTCAGGGGAATTTTTAATATTGCCAACTGCGTCAACACACAACAAACATGGCATCTTAAACTGACACAAGTTTACACTGTGAGAAAAACCGTAGAAATACACGAGGAGCAGAGACTCAAATGTTTTTAGATGCTTTATATGTATTTCTTTGGGGATTAGTTCAAGTCTGTTATTTGAATTAAAATAGGCAAGTGTTATCTAATGCTGATTTAGTGTCATCAAGATTAGAAAACTGAGTTTATATCAGAGGAAAAGGTTTTCAAGAGGTCTGTAGTTGGGCTTGAGACAACCACACATAGCGGATGCCATCACAGGACTGAGCAAAGTTCATGAAAGAGGGGAAAACTAGGGTAAAACACAGGTGCAAGCAATGATTATATTTAACTGAACAAAAACTGCAGTCTGTATTGCCATCTGCACACCACAACACCCTTTGTTCCCGGTGGAACAGTTCTGACATTCCCTCATAAAGCTTGAATTATCACATGGATCAGGTCTAAAATTTTGTGAACTGACAACCATAACTGTGCTTCTGGCATATAACCCCCAACTATATGGCCAGACCATAAAAGTGCTTTGATAATGGTGGTCCTCCACTCATTCCCATCATGACTGACTGTATGACAATAACATGAAAATATTCAGTCATAAATTGATACATAATTACAAAATAATGTAAAAAAAAATAAATCATTTACATTTAAACAATTTACATCATTATATTAATTATATGTGACCCTGGACCACAAAACAAGTCACAAGGGTCAATTTTTTTAAATTGAGATTTATACATCATCTGCAAATATTCTATTCTGTTCTATTCTATTCTATTCTATTCTATTCTATATTTTAACAGTGTGTGATACAATGTAAAAATTATTTATAAAAATAAATCTATATCTATAAATTAAAAATTTAAATACTTGCATCATTATTCTATTCTATTCTAATTGAATTTAAACTATTATTATAATATGACAAAAATAATATTTACATTTAATTGATTATTGATGTAAATATTGTTATTAATATATTATTTTTTTTATCATGTTATATGTTATGAAATGATTATTTATATTATTATATTTTATGTTATATAAAAAATGAATTCAGTCACGCAGCTTCTTCCTGTTAAAGTGGCCAGAATAAACTGCAACCTGGAACAGAGCAAAAAGCCAGTCCAAATGTTCCTTTCAACATATTAGTAAAATATTGAACAAGATTTTATGATGTTTTTATGCAAGTTGCTTTGGTAGGGAAAAGTCGCCTAAGAACAAAACTGTAGGCCTAGTTTGCAAGAATATTACAAATATAACCATTCAAACTCATTTTGTATGACCTCTAGACTTTCAGCAGTCCAAACCACAGACATTCACAAGCCATGTGTGACATAAATGATAGCTTGTCATTTGAAACATGTAACAAAATGAACTGGGTCATTCTTCGTACTCCTAAAAGATCCACTTCATCACTACATCCCAATGATAGGCTGAAATGTGAGAGATGTGGGACTGGGCAGAAGAAATAAGCTCAGATGAGCAGGTCATCCATGTCAATCAATATGTTGTGGACATAAAATGGTTTTCCTGTGGTAGCTACATCTGGGCTCCTCGACGGAGTAATGAAACTGCCAGCTTCAATTGTTCAAAAGGAAAGTGGCTTGGAATCGGTGCTAGTATTTTTTCTCTAATCTATCTTTAATAGAAATAGCGTAACTATCTATTAATATGAATGTATGTACATTAAATGGCCATATGCAGGTGTGTTTCTTCACTTACATTGTCTGTTCGAAGCTTCTTTGCAGGACAGCCACCATCCACCGGGTGTAACATGTAATACAGACGAACTTTGTTTGCATGCTTTCGACTCTGTAAGAAAATGAGAGAGATGGGGCAATATATGAGAGGTGCTTTCACAAGCAGCCAGTTACATTCAAGTGTTGACAGAAAAACAACTCGCTATTGATTATCAAACTAGCGATGTCAGGGCCCAAACAATTCTCATCAGAGCTACAGGAACACTGCTTTCATTTCTCAGAGCTTGATATGCCCCACTCTAGGCTGCGAGTGATCGCTCTGGTGGGTGGATAAAGGTCCATATTGATTGTTGTGCAGCAGATGAATGGCCAGCCATATGAGCAGTGAAAAGGCACCAGAAGAGTAATTCTCACAGGGGGTCCTTCAATCCATTATCAACCAACCAACCAGAGAGATATCTGCCCCAAAACAGTAAATCTGCATGAAAGTGATGTGGAGTTATTTCTCGCTTTAAGCCACCTTAAACTAAAATGATTTGTAGCAGATTTGTAGATGCCTGTAAGACAAAGGTTGTTGGGAATCTAAAAGGCAGAACATTAAAGGAATAGTTTACACTATAATAAAAACTCTGGTCATCCCAAACTCGCTTTCTTTTATCTAAAGATTTTGCAGAATGTTCTCTTTTCATCAATGTAAATGACAAAAAAGTATCATAAAAGTGGTTTGGTTGACTCATACACTATATCTTCTGAAGTTCATATGAAAGCTTGTGTGAGCAAGAGAATTCAATTTAAATGTTTATTCAATCATCTTCTACTTTATAAAATAAAAATGGTAGGTATTCTGTGCAATTTCAGTATAATGCTGTGCAATTTCAAATAAAGATGAAAAAAAGACAAAATTTAATAACTGTCTTTTATCTTGCCGCAGTACTCAATGTCAAAATAAATTATTAAAATAATATCTGAGAACATTTAGTTTGTGTTAACTTGACAGTGTATCTTCTACCCACAATTTCAGTAATGTTAGGTGAATAAAACTGATTTGGTTATTTCGTACTGTTTAGGGCTGTCAATAGAATAAAAAATTTTAATTAATCTCATGATTTCTGACTTATCTTTAGTTAAACAGAATGAATATTAAATTCAGTAAATGTGTTAAATGATATATATATATATATATATATTATTTAACACATTGAAGGAAAGAAAGAAAGAAAGAAAGAAAGAAAGAAAGAAAGTCCTTTTCCCTCCAAACCTGTAGTATGAATTACTTTATCTTGACTTTTTTGACTTCCACTGTATGGAAAACAGCAGCATGAACATTCAACTAAATATTTTCTTTTCATTTTAGTTTATAACTGTATATGTTTGAGTACTAAAATATATATGGTATTTTACACTTACAATTAATTACTTTTAGTAGAACATTTTCTATTTTACTATAATTTATCTTATTTTAAGTAATTTTAAAATGTAATTTGCAGTTATTCATGGGCAAATATAGTTCATTTCTTCAAGCCACTGCATACTTTTATGGTGCTGTTTTAGCTCATATTCATTTTCATTGTATGGAAAACAGTAGCGTGAATGTTCAGCTTGAAGAATGTCAGGTT